CATGACTCTCCTCCATAGAGTCCAGACCACATTCACTCAGCCGCTACATGCTGGAGTTTGGGTTTACTGGACTGGAGGTTCTGCAGAGTTTTTTAAACCCAAATAACCATTTTGCTATTTCTGAATGTTATATTCCTAAATGGCATACATTTATTATTCTAGATGATAACCTAAACTTCTCTGGAGTCTAACTATCCTGCTATTTGCTATAATATATGTATTGATGTATTTAGATAATCTTGTTTTTCATGGTAGGCCACTTCTTTGATTTTACTTCGGAGAATCTTTTGGCAATGAATCTATTAAAATCTCATAAAAAATTGCAAATGAATATCTGAATCTTTTCAAGTCAAGTATTTTGTCATTCAAATTCAATTAATTAAATTGGAACAGCTGAAAATATTTGTCAAAATCTGAAAAAAATGCTAACAAATTCAAATACATTAGAATTAGCCTGAAAATGAAATAAGCCTGTGTAAAATATGATAATTTTACTCACCTTTCAAATATTCATTTAGGGCATTTATTTTATAAAATAGACTATCAGAAAATCAGTATTGCTTCTATTGGCTAATATAAAGTAAGCTAGGCTACATGCTGGCATGAATGAGTTAAAACTATTCTAACAGGTCCGTGGAACTAAGCTATTTACCATTGATTGGACGACAGGCATTATCTAGCACCTTATAGCGCCTTTTAGGACAGCCAATAGCGGCCTTTCTTGCTAGGCAGTTGGCAACACTGGTGAAGGGATGAGAGGAGCAGAGAAGAGAAGCTATTAAAGAAAAAATCTAAATTTTGACAAAAAAGTGTTTAAATATATGAAAAAACTTATATTTAAATTGAAATGGGTCTTAAGAGTTCAATAAGTTCTTGTTCTCTGCACATCCCCTACTGTTGAGTTCTTTCTATAATGTGGCATTTTGAAACAACTTTGTCAAGAAGAGCCAGCACCATTGCTTCTATGCAAAATCCTGCAGGCAAGTGTTAGGACAGCTCAGTGACAGCACTAGGGGGATATTTCATAATTTGGATATTTAAGAATATACTTTTGACACAGGCTGTGCGCTATTCCTAAGCGCAACCTGCCAAATGTTGAAAGGGCAATATTATTGCCATTACTGTTAATAGTTAATAGACATTTACACATTCATTGATATGATTTTACAGGGGATGGTCACTTATTTTTATCTTATTTCTAAGATCTATTTAAGAAGGGGGATGCCATGCCCCCTCAACTCGAGTACCGATAACAAGGCAACTCCAGAACTCTTTTCACATTCCTCATTCTATCTCTATTCTCCAGTTCTGCATATATTTGTTAGTTAAACCCCTAACATTATGTAAAGGGTGGTCTTTCCTTGTCATGGTTGCTTTTTTTTTTGGTCAGGTCCTATTTGGCTGTGACACCGCCCTGTAGGAAAATATCAGCCCAATCCCACAGTTGAGCTGAATGACACTATTTCAAATAGAATTGTACTTTTGTGGGTTAATGGCGTCTTTTCTGTTCTTCCTAACTTGTGATTTTCTGCCACTGTGACAAAGATGCAGCAAACCAGTGGAAATAGAATTTAAATGTAGGTTTTTACTTTAACATTAGGCCCACCTGCCAAATTCCAGTGAGTCTGTAAAATCAATGTCTTGATGGAATCAGCTGGTTTCCTTAGACAGAACGCTTGTAACCAATCTATGTATATCTGTCACAGTGGTGCTGGAAGTTTGACAAGACCCTAATGCAGAATGAAGCCGAAGGAGTTTTGAGGTTTAATTAACCAAAAGTTCAACAGAAGAAAAAATCCAAAAATATAAATCCGCAAAATCCAAAATTGCTCAAAACCAAAAATACTCACAACAAGAAGGGGACAAAATAATGATGACAAACCAGCAAAGAGTGACTGAACAGGATGAGATTATATGGGAGAGAGAAACAAAGATAATATGGTAATATTTCCTTTGCACCTCAATATGATTTCATACAAAAGCCCTTTGCCCAGAAATACAGAGTTGGATTTGTTTTGCAAACAGCATTTTCTGAGATAGGTGCTCCTTGGTTAGCTGCTTTCAAACAGCAGCTCCAGTGTTTTCACATTCTTTCTTGAATCATTAAAGCCTACGGTGGGTGTGACCAACACATACAAAGATGAACAAGTTGACACACTACATTCCTTTGTACAAAGGAAAAGCTACAGGCCACGGCAGTTTCAACTGCAGCAGAAACTGAGAGACAAAAAAGCGCTAAATGTTGGAATCTGTAAATCATATACCAGTCTTATGTTTACATTTTATCACTGCTGCTTATATTTTATCACTGCTGTACTTTAAAATGGAAATGTCTTGACAGCTGAACTGATAGAAATGTCTTGTTGTATACACTTTGTGTGTACAAAACAACAATAAAGTCTGTCTAAGTGTAAGGTAAAAGGGTAAAAATCTATTTGAAAATCCTGCACAGAAAGTAAGATGTTGAGAGCATGATGCTGAATTAGTGAAAACAATTGAGATGTATATTGAGTCTCATCCAGAGAAGAAGCTCTGATGTGAGGGAATACATCGGATCAAAGCAGGAAACTGATAAATGTGAAGCTACAAGTAAACAGTAGAAGCTGGACACTGAGCTAAAGCAGCTCTTGAAAACATGTTCTGAAAAGCTACACATAAAAGCCAAAAACCTGTTTGAAATAAGCTTCCTTCAGAAAGAACATCCAGAAGGGGAGGGCGAAGTTGAGGATAAAGCTAGCCTGACCATCCAGACTGACTTACACTGTTCACATGGCATATAACTGACGCCCTGTGTCAGACAGTTTGGCTGAAAAGGCAAGGATACAGCAACTGCCCCTTCTGCTTCTTAACCACATGTAGATTTTTGGTCAAACTGTTTTTTGTTTAAAATCATACAATTTTAGTACACCTGTTTTCTGGTAGGATGGGTTAAACTCATTCACACTTAATACTCCGCCACATATGACCACCACTATAAGTTTATTCTACTTTCTATTGTTGACAATGATACCTGGACAGATGTCGAAATGTTTTTACAAAAACTAAGAAAAGTTCTGATTGCCTTTGATATAAGTCCATTCTGTGGTGAACTTTAAATCAACACTTAAATCTTTCATATAAATAAATCAAAATTTCGACTACGAATTAAACAAAATTAAAGATTTATCTTTGTTACAGGTATTGATTTCGGTCAACACTCAATTTTTGGTCTGACACAAACCTCCAACCAACACCAGAGAGCACTCTCGTCCTTTTAACTGTTACGCAGAGGAGG